ACATTTCATTTTGGAGTTAGGTCAATTAATGAAATAATATATAATTACAGGCATCTTCTTAGTGCTAAGTTTATCTTTTAGAAAAGTTATGATTTAATAAGTTAACAAGATTAATAACCATCCATTTTCACAAAAACATCATAATCACAAATGACCCGAGTGAAAGTTAAACATGTTTATGATATACAATTCCCAAAATCTGCCTATGACTTATGTCAAAGAAGTTAATTTTTACCATTATCAATACTTTCACTGTTTAGAGTTTAGCATTGTATTTTTGCAGTGGTAAAATTTAATTTTTTTACAAGCAACCCAGCACTTAAAATACTCTTATAAAGATAAGCTTAGAAAAAAAATTAGCATGACATTTAAAAGAAACTAAAACCAAGAACTATCACCTCATTTAAAACAATCCATTTATACTTCACTACTTGAAAGGTAAGGAAAAAACAAACTAAATTGATTTCTTTTGGAAAATAGTATATTGGAAAAAATTACGTAAAAGGCAACAACTGCATTTGTGACAGAACATAAATTAGATTAGTGATAGTTATTAACACAAAAAGTATTCCTTCATGCATCCAATGCGAGTAATTACATTAAAGAATTTCTACATGTATGATGCTTTATTCATATCGCTTTTTTTTTAATGTGCATGGCAGTTTTCCATGCATAGAAATGTTTCTTTGTTATTTGGTGTACTAAACTGTTTTAAATAAAAACAAAAAAAAAACAAGTTGAAAGAGGGAAATTCTGCTTATCAAAGTCGCCTTTTACATATGACAAAAGCAATTAAAATATCAAATTTAAACCATCAGCACACATCACACCATCAGGCAAACCATTTAACAAGTTTATAACAAACAAAGTGTGCATCGAACCTTCCAGAGCTTAAGTTTATCACACCAAAAATTTGAGTTGGTATTTCCAACCTATTCATTCCATCATCCAAACAGACCAGCCATAAAGAAGATTGTCTTAGCTCCAAACAATGCCAAACACCTTAACAGTTTCCTCTAATTCTTCAATGCTTCAGAAAAATAAAGAATCATTCTGTGGTTTCTTAAATTGACCTGATAGGCAAGTTACTAATTCAGTAAAACAAGACACAATGCATGTATTTGAGTAATAACTTCTTCAAAACTGTCCGAATGATTTTGGACAATGGCGTTTATTCCCTTAGGTACCATGTGGCCTAAAAAGTGGCCTAAAACTGCACACCCATACTACTCTCAATCAACCACAAGTCTTATACACAATATCAACAACTTTCTAGTTCTAAAATTAAAAATTATTTTTTCTTTTTTCATTACACCTTAACACATGGTATAGATTTATATAGTGCTTTATAAACAATCCTGATATTCTCCACTTCTAGTAATTCACTACTGGTTTCAGTACTGGACTTGCCTTCAAGGTTTGGCCACTATAGTCCACAAGCTCCAACAGTAAGATTTGATGGGTTATATATATATATATATATATATAAACACACACACACACTGTCTCATGGGATTTTTGATAACCTGCTACGAGTATTAAGGACAGGTGGCAACAGGTTGAACCCGATCACATTGTGTCAGGATTCTGGTGATGTCAACAAAACAGCTTTGGTCTCTTTGATAACCTGAGTAAGAACTGCCATGTCCAATATCAAAGAAGCCACCATGATAACAACTATTTTCAATATTTAGCTACAGGGCCGGTATCTGGATATTTTAATTAAAACTGCTGACAAACCTGGCAACTTTTATTAGAATTGAAAATTAGGTGCAAATACGTAGTGTGAAATTGTGAAGTGAATAAAAAAAAACTTGTAAATTCATATACATATGTTGAATAAATAAATAAAGAATTATTTTTCTCATTTTTCCGGAGGGGTCAATCCTATTATATCACAACACTGGAAACAACAAGAGCCCACCTAGGTCTTTATGGCTGTTTTGTACAACCATTCTTAACAAAAGTAAAAATTTAAACATACTCTCTATTGTTCAGGAAATCCAAATGCCACTCTTTAGTCATATAGAGTTTGTTTCCAATACTGCCGATAGGCAACTCATCACACATACATTAAACATGAACCATTTTTCCTTCCTCAAAATATGCATAAACTTCAATACTAAAAATCTGTAGCTACACAGACATTTATGTGTGCAAGAAAACTTAAAACAGGTCAATTTCTATAGCTTAATTATGTTTAAACTAATTTCAAATATGATATATTTTATGATTAATAATGTCTTGCAGCTCCTGTTCAAATATAATTTAGTAAAAGCTTCTCACTCATCATGTTTACTCATTATAGTATCATAACAAGATATACAAAAAGAACAAATAGGCTATGGACTATTTTTAAAGTAAATATATTACTGTGTACTTCCAATGCAGTTTGATTTCCTGATTGAAAAGACCTTGCAGTACATTATCTTAAATTTCATATGTAATTTGGACTTACAAAACATACACAGCCTATTTAACCATTTCACCACAATGTGCACACAAGACGTCCCCCTCTACAACACTAACATTGACATACGTCCTTCTTTAGAGCACTGCAATGGGCACATACATGGGATACATTATATAATATTTTTTTTAGCCTTGAAAAATGGAATATTAACCTCATGCGAGTTAATTCTGTATCACCATGCTAACAATAATTTTTAACAATCTTTAGTTTTTAAACAATGCCAAGTACAATTTTCATAAAAGATTTCTGTGAGGTGAAATATTAAGTTAAATCACAAAGTGACTGTAACTTTGAACACCACTGACACATTCATCATCTCTTTAGTTATTCAGATAAGCAGAAAGTGGACTGTAGGATACACATTTTGCTTGCAAGCTGGTTGGATGGAAAAATGTAAAAGGTTGTAATTAATGGGTTCCAGTGACCCATGTTACTAGTCAAGTACCTCAGATCTCAGTGCTCGGGCCTTTCCTTTTTCTTACTTACATTAATGATAGCAATAGGGCAAGGTTAGTAACTTAATAATGTTTGTTGATAGCATCAAATTTAGGATTTCTAGCTTGATAAACATTTGAATGATAAATGCTGGCTTTGAGTGTTATATTTTCAGAGTTGAGTACAGTGATTGGGATGGCTTAGATGGACTAACAGGTCCCTTTTTTGTCCTTATATTTATATTACAGAAGAACATGAAACAACAAATTGGAAGGTATTTAGAAAATGGCCCTTAATTATAGATCTTGGGATCATATGTTTCATATAGATAAGGGACCAACTGAATTCTGTGACTGAAGAAAAGGATTTTAGAATAATGGTGTACAAGTCACTTGAGCCATCAAAGCAATGCTCTATTTCTTGTAATAAAGCTAACAGAATTTGTGTATTTATGGACATATTAAATACAAGGTAAAAAGAGATAATTACTTTTTTGAACAAATTGCCAGTTAGGCTTCACTTGGAATACTATGTACAGTTTTAGTCTCCTTAATGAATTACTGGAAAAGGTTCAGAAGAGGGCTATTAAAATGAATGCTGGTATGAAGGGGTTACCTTACAATTTATTTTCTCTTATGAAAAGAGGGTAAGAAGTGATCTTATTGTAGTTTACAAGACTATCTGAAAGATCAAAACAATAAAGGCTTCTCATTTTGTGTGCGTTACACTCTGAAGATAATAGGATGAAAGAACACAAGTTTGAGTTTTGTAAAAACAACAGGCTAGGCTAAATTAAGTTTTATTTTTCTAATAGGGTGCTTAACTTGTGGATTGAATAGCCTTTGGCAGTAATGGAGGTCAGCAGTTTACTGGAATTTAACAATAATAGGGAAATGGATGTTTCCTGAAGAGTAAATGTTAGGTTTAAATTTTTCTGCCTTAAGAGTAGGTGTGAAAGAACAGGCTTGGAGATGAAGGAGAAAAGAGTTCCTTGTTGTCTGTAAAATATTTTCCATCATAAATCACAAATCTTAGGCTTAGATGTTAATGCATTTTTACAGACAACTAATTCTTAATGCAAACACACATACACATATATATATATATATATATTGGTATACATTTTCTGTGACGTTTTACTTTTAACTTGCAAGAACTCAGAAAACTACTTGTTTCTTTTGATTTTTTAACTGGTAGTGGTAATGTATTACATTAAAACATGGAACATTTCTTTTTCCACGCTTTAAAATCAAACAACTTGTAATGTTGTATAATCACTATACTTGAGATTCTAAATCTCAAGTTTTAACTTTCTAATTCTACATGACATTATCATTCTGTGCCATATACTATGAATCAGTACAATAATTAGTTTAGCTCACATTTCACACATTATTGTACAATACAATTTGATATATATATACATACATATATATTCCCTAATTAAACAATATTTAATAAAGAAATGTTATCATACAATTTTCTAAAACGATACGAGAAGCCTTTAAAGTTTAACTATTCGATCAATAAGTTATTTTCAAAACAGCAGGATCCTATTCATCTGCGATTGTGAATCAGGCTTAGCCGCAAGGTCAAATTACCGATTAACACGGCCACTACTCGTTATCGTTATTAAATAATATTATGGTAAGCTCATTTTAAATATTTATTATGTTAAGCTTAATATATTTCTACGGAGTGGGCCTATATTTACCATAGTTGGACGATTTATTATTCATAATAAAGTAAAAAGTTTACCATTAACTTTGGTAATTAATGGTGATAAACAATCTAATTCTAAAGATGGCAAAAAGGCCTGCACTACAGTACAGTCTACAGCCCTACATTTTACAAGAACAAACTATTTTAGGCTTATCAATATCACTGTGTTTTGATACACTTACATATATCATTATATGCACATCGACAAAATGTACCATTGTAACTTATAAGCGATCACAACACAGATATAGTAATGAATGAATCCTGAAGTGAAAATAATACAACTTATATGTTAGTATTAGTATTACTAGTATTAATATTAACTTAGCTGACAAACGTAAATTTGCTAGGCCTAATTAAGAACACTTACCATGTCCACTTTAGGTATTTTAATTTTATTGTGGTCTGCATAATATACGTTAAGTAACAAAACACTCTGATATATTAAGGTACTATCCTCAAAAGGACGACAGCGAAAGTATTGATCGTAATCACAGTCGACTACCCTCAAACCATTAGTATTATCCAAATGTCGCCAAACCTAGTAGTAATAGTAACACCAGTAATACGATGAAACGTAGTATAGTGTTTTGCGCTACAGCAGCCCTTATCAGTAACTTCGAGCGCTTGTCAGTCAATTAAGATTTGACCAATAATAGTAAAGTATTCCTGGCGCCAGTGGCTACCGACTAATGACGAAAAAGTGGTATGTATGACATTAAGATAAACATGAAAAACTTGTGCACGTGCAAGTATTGACATTCTTATCGCAGTTCAAAGTTGTTATATAAGAATAAAACATAACAATTTATTTAAAAGTTATGATTTAAATGTCAAAAGCTGGCGAAACACTAGAAACCAATAGATCTACAGTTTGTGATCAAAACCATATAAATTCCGGATGCCCCATAGTAACTTGTAGGAGACAAAAGATAGATGAAATGCTATTTTTACACGCTTTTGATCTCGAATCCGAAATAAACAAATTAAAAGGAGTGTGGGATAAGAAAATAATTTGCACTTCAAGTGATTTTTATTGATGTTATTACAAAATGGAATAATGTTATTTACAACACAGTCAATCTTTAAAATAATGTAATTTATTGATATGTTAAACCGTTTTGTCATATATGGTACATATTTTTCCTCGTGATATAAAACTGGAAAATATTAGCAGACTGATATTACAATAAGAAACAGATTCATCTTTATAGTTAGGCGCTCTCTTGTGTGATATTATCAATGTGGTACCCGATTATGTTAGTGTCATTCTCTGAGTCTTAAAGACGTAAGTTCTTTCTGAATCAAAAGATAGCTCACAGACTTAACAAGAAATTAAACTCAATGAAGAACTAAAAAAATAAGACTGATGAAGTAGCACACAGTCGTTTGTAAAATAGTTGTTAATTTATGGAATGTATACAAAAGGAGCAAAATTATTCCCGAATAGCTAGTTCACTAGTAATATTATTGTTACGTCTCCGTTTGTTAATTAACTTTTCGTAACTTCGTTCCGACGAAACTTTAGCGACACAAGTCCTTACTTAATAAAACTGGTTTATTCTTTCGGAATACAACTTTACGATACACTTATTTTCAACAATCGCGATAAAACAAACGCTATATCAACGAACGTCAATAATACTTCTGACTGCAGTTCAATTACTCACTATCTACACACACACACATTACATTATCCTCCCGTCACGTTGTCACCCTCTTTTATATACCCGACTACCCTATATCTAGTAAATACTAGAGCATTCGCCAAGGTAGGGGATAGTTCTAGAAACGTGGCGTCACACTAGTCATGTGACTCGCCGACGCAACACTGCCCCCTCCTTAATATTGTTCGTCCCGAACAATAACCACATATAATAAACCAATAACAATAACTTAATTAAAATGTACAGAATTACAAACACAAAATTACAATTCAACAAAGTCTCTTAATTTTACGGGACGTATCTTCTTCCGTACTGGTCTCCGTCTCGTTGGCTTCTGCTTCACGTGGGGTTCACCTACTTCATTAGGAAATGTCCTATCATCGGTAACAGTCACATCAGTGGTAGTAACTTCATCAAGAGCTTCATCGTTTCCCTTCTCAAAACTGACTAGAGTTTCTTCTTCGACGGTGGCTTCTTCAGGTGTCACGTCTTCAGCAGCGTCATTTGTTCTGTGGTCCACTTCGTCCCAACTGAAATGTCCTGGACCATGATAACGCCAAAGCCTGTTGGCATGCACCACTTTTGGTTTCCTCGCCGACCACATCTTACCCGGAAAGTCACGTCGGAGAGACGATCCACTATGTCATATGGGCCTTCCCATGG